CTGCGGTTTTGGGGAGGAGGCTGCGAGTTGTGATATGAGCCACCATTTCTGAGGCCGATAGGACGGGCTCGCCTGTCCCCCGGGAGGGAGTCCGGTAGAAAGGCAGGCATGTTCGGAGAAAAAAATGCTCTTTAAACCACTTCAGCCAAGTTGGAAAGGGCTCTGGGAGGGGGAGCGCAGGGGTGTTGTGTGGGCGGTGAGAATGGCACGACAGCATTAAAGCACCGACCCGAGAGGGCTGTGCTGAGAGCCTTCCTCGGGCACAGCCGAGATGAGCTGTGTAGGGCTCCTGTTTTTAGCTGATGTTGCAGGAACCATCCCCGTTCCCCGGCCGGCTGCAGGCAGCATCCCTCCGCAGAGTGCGGGGGCTCCACGCTGCCCACACCACGTCTCCCGCCTGGACAAGCCATAAACTTACCACAAACTCCTGCAAAATTGAATCTCTACCAATAAATAGTGAAAAACTCTGATGTCCCTATTTACTGTGAAAATTAATCCCTCCAAGCCAGCACATAAATACCCTGCTTCTCCCCAGGCGTCCAGCCCTGAGCGGGAAGCAGAGCCAAGCACCAGCACACCCCAAAGTCCCCGTTCCTTTTCTGTGCCATATCCTCAGACGTATCCGTTATTCCGTGTTATTCTTGCATGAGCTGCTTGGACCAAGGAAGGTGCTCGGGGCCGCTGCGTGCTGCACGGCAGGGCTTGTCTCCAGGAGGGTTTCCAGTGGGGTTGGGGTTAGCTGGTTGCACAAACCGCTCTGGATTCCTGGCTAAGAAAACCATGTCCTCCCTGCTTTTGTGGCCATGAGGTTGGTGTCAGAGAGGTGAAAACACAGCTCAAAACCTGTTGATGAGGACAAACTTCCATGACTGGCTGCAAAGCAGCCCCCCTCGCCCTCGTGGGACCATTTGCAAGGACATGGCAGTTGTGCAACAAGCCACCATTTGCAAGGACGTGTGAGGGTGGTGGTTGTGCAACAAGCCAAATGGCATCAGTTGAAAAATATGATCGAGTAGTTGTTAAATGCATCCTCTGTGCCCCCATCCTTTGCCCAAAATCTAGCTGGAGCCCACTGGAAAGGAAACCCCGTTGGCTGCTGGATGCAGCAAGTGCCAGCCACAGCAAGCGCTCCCCCGAGCAGGGAAGTGTTGGAGCTCTCAGGAGCAAGAAAACATTCCATAGGTTGTTGTTTTTTTTTTTTTTTCCTTCTCTCCCAGCTGCACACCCTGGGCTGGCGTTTGGTTTGCAGCCAGCGCTGTAGGCATAGAGGAAAAAAAAAACCCCCACACCGGTTTGCACACGTGTTCCAGCTATTATTGAAAAAGAGACCCCAAAGTAAACCGCGAGGCAAGGGGCAGGCAGGTGGCGAGCTCCTGTCGGGAGCTGCTGCTTAAAAGGTCTTTGTTCAGGCTGCAAACAAACCGCAGCACTAGACGTGGGCTTTGCAAACCTTCCTGGGAAGAAACCCAAATAACAAAGGGCCAGGACTTTGTTCCTTCTCTCCTAAACAGGTAGGAAATGTAGAAAGAGCAAATTTTACCTCCTGCGTTTAAGTACTTCTGGAAAGCGAATTTTAAATCTACATTCCACAGGGCTAATTTTGTGTGGACCAGAGTGCACGCAGGAACGGTGATATATATGGCTGAAAACTGGTTCCCCGATGCCAAAACCAGGTTCTGGTATGCCGTCCTGGATCCTTCCAGGGTAACATTAACCATGACTTTCTGTAAGCAGTTCTACTCTTTCAACTCAGACACTGCAGTGAAGGAGAGAGACATAGATAGTTTTGTTTTATTTTTAATATGAGGGTGATAGTTTGACAGTAGTATATACTGGAACAGAGGATGAGGGACCTGTGCCAATTGAGAGTATTGAGAGTATATTCTCCTTCGGATAAGTATAGGATGATCTTTCATCTGTGTGTGGTATAGACAGTATCGGAATTGAAACCTGCTCAGTGTCCCTAGTTACTGCCAGGTTTGAAATAATGGTGATAATGACACTGAAATGGAGAGTCAAGGTTGCAGCTTCTATATGGGCTTGCCGCTTGCAGTGCTGCAAACGAGCGTCGCCGTGAGCAGGTATGCACAGATGGCTGCGCCAATTCAGTGCTTACTGCAAAGTGTTATTTACCACTTCCATTACTTCAGAGTCTAATTTTTCATCTCCGCAACACTTTGACTCGTACGCTCTGGACCGAGGGATGATGGTGGAAAACTGAACGTTGCCCGGTTTCAGCAGGACG